AAACCAGATACACTGAATCCAATATAAGAGAAATTGGATAAGAGCCTTGTACTCATCGGCATAAAGAAAAATTTCCTAAACAGAACTCTAATGGCTCAGGCTCTAAGATCAAGAATTGATAAATGGGACCTCATGAAACTGAAAAGTATATAGTCAATAGGAAAATCAGCAACCTACATATTTGGAAAAAAATCTTCATTAATACCACATTCAATAAGGGCTAATATCCAAAATATATAAAGAACTCCAGAATCTAGCCACCAAGAAACCAAATAACCCAATCAAAAAACAGAATATAGAACTCAACAATAATATTAATCTTCACTAACCCCACATTCAATAAAGGGATAACATCCAAAATATATAAAGAACTCCAGAAGATAACCACCAAGAAACCAACCAACTCAATTAAAAAATGGATATAGAAATTAACAAAAATATTCACAAAAGATCAATCTTGAGGGGCCATGAAGCACATAAAGAAATGTTGAAAGTCCTTAGTCATCAAGGAAATTCAAATCAAACCTAACCTGAGGTTCTATCTTACACCAATCAAAATGGTGAAGATCAAAACCTCAAGTAACAGCACATGTCAGCAAGGATGCGGAGAAAGAGGAACACTCCTCCATTGCTTGTGAGATTGAAAACTGGTACAACTACTCTGTAAAACAATCTGGAGATTCTTCTAAAAATTGTAAATAGATATACCTGAAGATACAGCTATAGCACTCTTAGCATATATCCAAAAGATGCCCCAACATGCCACAGGAACATGTGTTTCATTATGTTCATAGTGGCCTTATTTGTGATATCCAGAAGTTGGAAGCAATCCAGATGGCCCACAATAGAATAATGGACAGAGAAAATATGGTTCATTTACATGATGGAATACTACTCAGCTATTAAGAACAAGGACATCCAAATTTTGCATACAAATGGATAGAACTAGAAAATATCATCCTACACGAAGCAACTCAGACCCAAAAGGCCATGCATGGTATAATATAATTTGGCTAATATGTGAGTATTAGCTTAAAAAGTACAGAATACCCAGAATAAAATTGTCAGATCTCAAGAAGGTTAACAAGCCGAAGAGCCCAAGTGAGGTTACCTCGATCTCAGTTGCAAGGGAGAAGAAGGAAATCATGGGGGAAAGGGAGAGGGAAGTACCGGGGTGGGAGACGGGAAAAGGTGAACATGAACAGGTATTGGGGGACAGGGGGAAGCAGGACTAAAACCCTGTGGGCCAGCAGAAAGAATGGAAATAGGCATGCTCAGGAGATAGGAATAGGGGAGACCTATAGAAAGTTGCAGTGACCTGGAAGGTGAGACTCTTAGGTTGCAAAGGGCAGGACATTAGTTGAAATGTTCTATAGTGGGGAGAGGGAACTTGTAGTGTCCACCTCCAGTAGAAATAAAGAGCATCAAGTGTAGGAATATGGTTGCCTTCCACAGTCATAAAACTCTCATCCAGAATTGTTTCTCCCTAAAAGAACTGCAGGGACAAAAATGGAGAAGAAGCTGAGGGAAGGAGGTTCAGTGACAGGCCCAAGTTGGAATACATCTCATGGGGAGTCTAGTATGGCTGCTCTCTAAGAGGCCTAGCAAGCAGCTGAAAGAGTCAGATGCAGATACTTACACCCAACCAATGGACAGAAACAGGGAAACCCTGTAGTTTAAATAGGGAAAAGCTTTGAGAATCTGAGAGGTAGGGTGACCCCATAGGAAGACCAACAATCTTAAATTACCTGGACCTCCAAGATCTCTCAGACACTAAGCAACCAACCAGACAGCATACACAAGCTGATATGAGGCCCCAATACATACACAGCAGAGGACTGCCTGTTCTGGTACCAGTGAGAGATGATACACCTAACTAAACCTGAAGAGACTTGAGACCTCAGGGAGTAGAGAAGTCTGGTGGAGACAGTACATCCTCTTGAAGATGGGGAGGAAGTATGGGATGAAGAACATTCAGAGAGCGCAGACTGGGAGAGCGATAAGGAGGACTGGAATGTAAAAAAGATTATATATATATACATATATATATATATATATATATATGTATATATATTTCCAATAGAGAACACAAACACAAAGAACAAATGAACTGACATACTAAAAAATTTTTTCACATGCAAATGATCTGAATATTGAGATTTGATGGAAGGACTAGACAGTTGATGTTTCTTTCTAGATATGATTTAAATTTGTCCATTATAAATATATAGTTCATATTCAATAATAAATGACTAATTGATGTAAATTGGAAAATTTCTGTGGTTTTAAATCTAAATTTTAGCATGTACTCATTGAAAATTCCCACATGTTGAGCTCAACACATAAGAAATAAGGAAAACTAACAAATATTTTCTCATATAGAGATATTCTCTCATACTATTTACTTACATCTGAAAGTAATTATTTGAAAAAAATTTACTTATATAAATATTATGTTTTATACATTTAATATTTAATAAATAAGTAAATGTTTTTAGTAGTAAAGTGATTTTTTTTTCTTAGCGTCAATTGTTCCTCTAAGTTGATATAATTTTGTTGAAAAATTCCCACCATACTTCTTTATTATAGTCACCAAAACTGTATCATTTTATTTTATTTTTTTAAAAAATGCTTCTCTTATCACTTTAGTAATGAGCCTAACCTTTAACAGCTAAATCATCTCCTGAATGACCATGCTCTACACTGACTGGATGGCCAGGAACCAAAGACTGGATACCTCAGACACCTAGGATGCATGTCTTGTGACGCTGTCATCAGACAAGCTTTTTGTAGCAGCAGATGGGAGCAGGAGGAGAGACCCACAGCCAGACATTATGAGGAAAGAGTCTAAATTGGAGGTTTTCATTGGGTTCCTTCCCTTGGAGATCAGGGAATCCTACAGAAGATTGCAGGCTGGTAATTGTGGGAGTCATAGGGGATTGAGTACATAAGGAGAACTTAGTCCACAAAATCAACTAAGCAGGGCTCACATAGGCTCACAGAGACTAAAGCAGCAAATAAGAGGAAGGTATGGATCTGCCCCAGGTCTTCTATGTATATATTATGACTGCTAGCTTGGTGTTTTTGTGAAACTCCTAACAGTGGGAATAGGTAGTTATCTGACCATTTCACCTGCTCTTGGGACTCTTTTTCTCCTATTTGGTTGCCATGTCCAGCCTCAATGTGAGAGGACTTTTGACCTTTCTTATTGTATCTTGTGTTGTCTTGTTTGGCTGTTGTCTGTTGGAGGACTATTCTGAAGAAAAGCAGAGGGCAGGGGATGTGGGGAGAGGTGCAGTTTGAGGAAGCTGAGAGAATTGGAGGGAGAACAAACTGTGGTCAATTTTAAAAAGAAAGTTAAAAAATAAACATCTCTAGTCATCAAAGAAACGCAAATCAAAACAATCATGAGATTCCACCTTGACCCAACCAGAATGGCTTCTCAAGTCACTCATGTGACAGCATATGCTGACCAGGATATAAATAAAGAAGAACACTCCTCCATTGCTGTCGTGATTGTAAAACTTATACAACCACTCTGGAAATCAATCTAGTAGTTTCTTAGAAAATTTGAAATACCACTCCTGGGCATATACCTAAAAGATTCTTTACAATACCACAAGGAGACATGCTTCACTATGTTCATAATAGCCAGAAGCTGGAAAGAACCCAGATGTCCCTCCCCCGAAGAATGGATACAGAAAATGTGATTCATTTACACAATGGAATGCTATTCAACTACTAAAAACTAGAACATCATGAATTTTGCAAGCAAATTGGTGAAACTAGAAAAATCATCTTGATTAAGGTAACCTAGACTCAAAAGGACATTCATTCATGGTATGTACTCAGTGATAAGTGGCTATTAGCCCAAAAGTACAAAATATACATTCTGTACCCCACAGACCCTAAGAAGTTAAACAAGAATGACGGCTCAAGTGAGGACACTTCAATCCGACTTAGAATGTGAAAAAAAATTATCATGGGAGGTAGAGGAAGGGGGCTACCTGGGAGGGAGAGTGGAGGAGAAGGGAAAGGGGGACAGGATCAGGTGTGGGCGAAACAGAAGAGAAGTACACAGGACCAGGAAAATAAATGGAAACATGAAGCTGCTGGCTACAGAGGATGAGCAGAACCTCCTTAAAGTACCAGAGACTCAGTATGGAGAAGCTCTCAGGTCTCAGTGTTGGTGAGTTTAAGCAAAATCCTCAACAGTGGGAAGGGAACCTGAAGAAACCACTTCCAATAGTTCAGTAGGACCCCGAGTGGCCGAGAGGAGGGATGCAACACCAATCCACCTTCAAAAATTTTGTCCCCAAATTGTTCTTGTTTTGTCTCTGCATAAATGCAGGGACAAAAATGGAGCAGAGACTTAAGGAATGCGTGACCAGTTACTGGCCCAACATGAGATCTGTCCCATGGGCAGGCACCAAATGCTGACACTATTACTGCTGCCATGTTGTGCTTGCAGACAGGGGTCTAGCATGACTTTCGTCTGATAAACTCTACCATCAGCTGACTGAGTCAGAGTCAGATATTTACAGCCTAGCACTGGACAGAGATCTGGGACCCCTATGAAAGAGTTAGGGGACAGATTGAAGGAGCTGAAGGCCATGGAAACCCCATAGGAATATCAAGAGTGTCACCTAACCTGTACCCCTCTGAGCTTGCAGAGATTAAGCCACAATACTAAAGAGCATACAGGGGCCAGTCAGAGGCTCCTGGCACATGTATAGCAGGGGACTCCCTTTTCTGGCCTCAGAGGGAGAAGATGCACCTAATCCTTTATAGAATTGATGACCCAGGGAAGAGGGATGGAGGGGGCATCTTCTCCGGGGAAGTAGAGGGGGTATGGGACAAAGACTGGGAGGGGACAACTTTTGGGATGATAATAAATAAAGTAATTTAAATTTTTTAAAAAATTGCTTCAGTTTATTTTCACTAATGTACAGTAAGTAAATTATGTTGTCAAATAAACATTAGGGAAAATGATGCCCTACCTTTGCATTTCGGTGGTTCAGTCCAAATCCCATTTAGACAGATCACTTCCATTTCCCCAAATAGTTCAAAAGGTTTGTTACATTCGTAACGTACTCTGTCACCAGATGGATATTTAGCCTTGGACCTTGTGAGTATAGTAGCATTTGGCACATGTGGTGGATCCACACAGGAATTATCTAAAGAGCAAAATAAAGTATTATTACTTATTTGTTCATCTGGAGCATCTAATTATTGCATAAGTTTCCAAATATACTCCTGACTTGATGAATGGATAAAGAAAATTTGCTACATCTATTAACACTGAAAGAATGAAATCATGAATGTCACAGGTAAATGTTGGAAGATATATATATATATATATATATATATATATATATATATATGCATGTGTGTGTATGCATGTGTATGTGTATATATATGCATATATATGCATATATATGTAAATTTGTATCATATAAGTAAACTTCTATTAGTTTTTTATAATATCCCTCAAATGACCCTTAACTTTTGCTGTCCCTCTGTGTATTCTGTTTTCTGTCTTTCCTTCCTGACATTCATAAATATCTACTCTATTTCTCCATCTCAAAGAGACAATAGCTTGCCCCCAATCCCTTACTGTATACCTAACCTCTACTGTTCTATGGAATGTAACTTAGCATTGATTGACTTACAGCTAGTATCTATATATAAGCAAATATATACAATTATGTATTTCTGAGTCACCTCACTCAGGATGAATTTTTGTCTATTTCTCATCATTTACTTGTGACATATAAATGGAATCAACAGTCCCATAACCCCTAAGGAACTAGCAGCAGTCATTAAAAGTCTCCCCACCAAAAAAAGCCCAGGACCAGATGGTTTTAGTGCTGAATTCTATCAGATCTTCAAGGAAGACCTAATACTAATTCTCTTCAAACTATTCCACAAAATAGAAACAGAAGGAACACTACCCAATTCGTTCTATGAAGCTACAATTACACTCATACCCAAACCCCACAAAGACCCGACAAAGAAAGAAAACTTCAGACCAATCTCCCTTATGAACATCGATGCAAAAATACTCAATAAAATTCTAGCAAAACGAATCCAAGAACACAGTAAAACAATCATCCATCATGATCAAGTAGGCTTTATCCCAGGAATGCAAAGATGGTTCAGTATTCGGAAATCCATCAATGTAATCCACTATATAAACAAACTCAAAGAAAAAAACCACATGATCATCTCACTAGATGCTGAGAAAGCATTTGACAAAATTCAACATACCTTCATGATAAAAGTCTTGGAAAGATCAGAAATTCAAGGCCCCTACCTAAACATAGTAAAAACAATTTACAGCAAACCAGTAGCCAACATCAAACTAAATGGAGAGAAACTTGAAGCAATCCCACTAAGATCAGGGACTAGACAAGGCTGCCCACTCTCCACCTACCTATTCAATATAGTACTGGAATTCCTAGCCAGAGCAATTAGACAACAAAAAGAAGTCAAAGGGATACAAGTAGGAAAGGAAGAAGTCAAAATATCACTATTTGCAGATGATATTATAGTATATTTAAGTGACCCCGAAACTTCCACCAGAGAACTGCTAAACCTGATAAACAACTTCAGCAAAGTGGATGGATATCAACTCAAACATATCAGTAGCTTTCCCCTACATGAAAGATAAACAGACTGAAAAAGAAATAGTAAATAGACAATAGTCGCAAATAACATAAAATACCTTGGTGTGAATCTAATCAAGCATGTAAAAGACCTGTACGACAACAACTTCAAGTCCTTGAAGAAAGAAATCGAAGAAGATCTCAGAAGATGGAAAGATCTCCCATGCTCATGGCTTGGCAGGATTAATATAATAAAAATGGCCATCTTGCCAAAAGCAATCTACAGATTCAATGCAATTCCCATTAAAATCCCAACTCAATTCTTCACAGAGTTAGAAAAGGAAATTCTCAAATTCATATGGAATAACAAAAAACACAGGATAGCGAAAACTATTCTCAACAATAAAAGAACTTCTGGAGGAATTACCATCCCTGACCTCAAGCTGTACTACAGAGCAAAAGTGATAAAAACTACATGGTATTGGTACAGAGACAGGCAGGAAGATCAATGGAATAGAATTGAAGACCCAGAAATGAACACAAAAACCTATGGTCACTTGATCTTTGACAAAGGAGCTAAAACTGTCCAGTGGAAAAAGGACAACATTTTCAACAAATGGTGCTGGTTCAACTGGAGGACAACATGTAGAAGAATGAAAGTTGATCCATTCTTATTTCCTTGTACAAAGCTCAAGTCTAAGTGGATAAAGGACCTCCACATAAAACAAGATACACTGAAACTAATAGAAGAGAAGGTGGGGAAGAGCCTCGAATACTTGGGCACAGGGGAAAAGTTCCTGAACAGAACACCAATGGCACATGCTCTAAGATCAAGTATTGACAAATGAGACTTCATGAAATTGGAAAGTTTTTGTAAGGCAAAGGTCACTGTCAATAGGACAAAATGACAACCAACAAACTCCTAGGCATATACCCAGAAGATGCTTGAACATATGACAAGGACATATGCTCAACTATGTTCATAGCTGCCTTATTTATAATAGCCAGGAACTGGAAAGAACCCAGATGTCCTTCAACTGAGGAATGGATTCAAAAAATGTGGTATATTTACACAATGGAGTATTACTCAGCTATTAAAAACAATGAATTCGAGAGTTTCCTAGGTAAATGGATGGAACTAGAAATTATCATCCTGAGTGAGGCACAAAAGAACACACATGATATTCACTCACTGATTGCTGGATATTCGGCCAGAACCTTGAAATGCCCAAGATTCAACTAACAGGCCACATGAAGCTCATGAAGAAGGAAGACCAAGTGGGGGTGATTTGGTCCTTCTTAGAAGGAGCAACAAAATACTCAAGGGAGCACATATGGAGACAAAGTGAGGGACAGAAACTGAAGGAAGGGACGTCTGAAGACCATTCCACCTGAGTATCCATCCCATGTGCAGTCACCAAAGGTAGATACTGATGTGGAAGTCAAGAAGTGCATGCTGATAAAAGCCTGATGTCTCCTCAGAGGTCTGCAAGAGTCTGACATATTCAGAGGCAGATGCTCACAACTAGCCATTGAACTGATCATGGGGTTCCCAATGGAGGAGTTAGAGTGAAGACCATTGGAGCCGAAAGGGTTTGTGGCCCCATGAGGAAAGCAACAATATCAACCAACCACAGCTCCCAGGGTCTAAACCACCAGCCTGGGAGCACTTAGGAAGGGATCCAAGGCTTCAGCTGTATATATAAGAGCGGAGGGCCCTGCTGGGCATAGGTGGAACAAGAGATGCTTGACCTTATGAAGTCTGGACACTCTAGGGGGTGGGAATTTGAAGGTGGGGAGGTGGGAGTGGTGGGATAGGTAGGGGTTACAACCGCAGAGAAGAAGGAGGAGGGGTGAGGGGATAGGGGGTTCCTGGGTGGGTGAGGGATGGAGTAAGGGGACAACATATGAAATGTAAATAAAACATCCAATAAAAAAAAACCTAACTTAAAAAAAATCCTTAGGTGCAGCCTTGACACTCCTATCTGAACAGGGCGACTCAGGCAGACAGTGTTTAACAAGGGTTCTGGGCCTCATTTGCATTCCTTTATCCATCAAAACTTGACCAGGAGGCTCTGTACTGGAAATTGCTACACAATATACATTCTTGGTCTGTGCTGGAAACTGTTTCAGCAATAGCTTGGAACTAGCCCTGCAGGAAGGAGAGGCCAAAGGACAAGCTGTTTCTTGTAAATAAATAATAATAAATTAACATGATTGAATAAATAAATAAATAAATAAATAAATAAATAAATGGAATCACCAAGATTTGTTAGGAGAGAGTATCCCGATGGACATATCCTGTCACCAATGAAGCTTTTATTACTGGGATTAGAGTACATGTAATTAAATGGGTGCCAAATAGGTCAAATAGAATATCCAAACAACACATGCAGACTGTTGACAAGACTATAGATTGTACCCCATAGTCTGAAGGCAAGGCTACACTGTGAAAGACAACACCTATGCAACTCACTGAACATAGCAAAGTTGCACTGGTGCCTACAGAGGTAAGCATCTTTGTTACAGTAAGGGCCTCTGCATGCTGTTATATATATTATGGTTTTCAACTTATTATTTTTATGGGATTCCTGAGTGTATAAAATGTCGCTTTGTGTCTACATAGTTTCTAAGATCTTTTCTTCTGCTGTTTTCCCTAAAATTATTGTTTTGTCACCCCCCATTGTGTTTGTTTTCTTTTTGTTTTATTATTATTACTCCTTAGAAAACTATTTTCTTTCTCCTAAAATATAGAAAAGGGATAGATCAGATGAGACAAAAGTTGAGAAGAAACAGGAATGAGTAGAAGGAAGAGAAACATAATCAGGATATACTATGAGAAAAAAATGTTTGCAATGTTAGAGGAAAAAAGAACATTGTTTTAAGAACACCATAGTCATAAGAAAATGCTGACCAAATAAAATATCCTAATATTCTAATAAATTTGATAAAATGAGATATAAGCAAGATTTCAATTGAAAAATAATTATTAAAAAATGTATCAATAAATATTTAGAGCTTACATCACATTCCAAACTGAGTCATACATAGATCCCAGAAAAGACATTATAGGAGACTGAAGATCTCATCTCTAGATGTCTTCTTATTTAAGATGTGTAGCATGTACTCCTTGGTGTTAATTTACATTTTTCAAAACATGGTCCAAAGGTACTGATGATGCTGACTGTAGAATCAAACTCTGAACACCATCACAAAAAACCTTTACCATCAGGTTTTCAACTCAATGCTTTTATTTTTTTTTAATATAAACCAACTTGATTTCCCTTTAAAACTATCTCTGCACCATTTTTAATTATGCCATTTTCTGTTGCTAAAATAAATACGTGTTAAAAGCCCATCCAAATACCTTTGCATACTGGCTGTCCAATCCACATGGTATTAACACATGTCACAGTGTCAGAGCCATCCATTTGATAACGTGGTAGACATTTGAATGTAACTTGTTCTCCTGACTTATATGATTTTTTTTTCTTTTCAGCCGGTATGGCATTTTCAAATGAGGGTAAAAAGTCACAATCAGTTTCTGAAAAGAAAAATAAATTATGTAGGAATATGTTTTCAGAAAGTTGTAGAATATAAAATACATGAAACAGTAGTTACCTTCGTAGTAATACATACAGTATTAATAAATACAGTAGTAATAAATACAGTATTTTCCCATTTTATTTAGTTATATTGAATTCCTTCATATTTATAAAAATAAATAAGGTAGATACAGAACTCTAATAATCATAATTCTTGAGATTTTATATTTTGCATTCAATTTTTCTCATACATTTCATGCTTACAGAGTATTTCTACTTTATGTTTTATCAAAAGCAAATTACTCACGATTATTATTTCAAAATTTTAGAGTACATGTAATTGTAGTGGCATTGCTGATAATGAGCTTGTTTAGAAGAGCCTGTGTGTTCTTGAAGTCTGGGGATTCTGATATCTCAGACTACATGAAACAAAATTAATTTAGTTGGGCTGAAAGGATAAAATTATGTTTTTACTAGTACTGTATTTGCCTTCCAGTATCTAGAATTATTAAGCAACACCCTTGTACATGCAAGAATTATCACTTTATTTCTTAATTGTGCCACATATAGATTTAATTAGATTATATATTACACAAACAATGAAAATAAAACTGTACTTATGCATTGTGGTGGTTCAGACCACTTTCCTCCTACACATTTAATAAATGCTGGTCCATCAATTCCAAAACCTTCAGAACAATTGTATGTAACCTCTTCTCCATATTGGTAACTCTCTAGTTCATGAGAAACAGTACCAAAAGGAATTGAAGGTGGAGGTCCACAAGGAATTCCTGAAAATGACACAAATGAGAGCAACATAGTCAAAACATTCCACATTGTACTAATACAGAAATTCAACTGTATGTATCAGTTCTTTATGTAGCAGTACTGGAAGGAAATGTTAACTAGAAGAAAGATGTGCCATCATAAAGAAGGTGGGCAGTGCTTCCTAATACCACATTCTGTTGTCTTGCATCTGTTAAACAACGTCAAGGAATTAATAATTTAAGAAAATACAACATATTGTGGGATGGGTGTGGGGAGCACATATGGGAAAAAGACACTTTGGACATTAATACTCAGTGGCACATCAAACAATACAACTCACATGAGCCAATGAAGTTTGTAGACTATATGTCATATTTAAAAACAGAAATTCAAGAATGAAACTAGATTTCAATAGAAACAGTACAATCAACTAAAGCAGCATAGATTGAATTATGCAAGTACAAATGTATGGTCAAAATATATAAATGTGTAAGTGTGCTGATCTAAATCCTTCTTTCTTCTGGTTAGGATGAGAATAGAATATTGGTAATGACTTGTTTAAAATCATGGCTGAATTTTCATGTCACTCTCACCAACACAATGAGGTGGAGAGCTCCATTTTCCCATGTAGCAGGTTACCACATTCTCTTCAGATATCCTGAAACCATCATCACAGACATAGCTAAATCTAGTTCCGTGTTCATGGCTATTGGACTCAGTTGAATCTCTCCTTTCTTCAGAAGATCTAGGTAATTTAATAGATCCGTGTTCTATTGTAGGGGGCTGGGAGCATGGAATTTTTTCTACATGAAGAACATAAATGAAATAGTCAAGCAGAAGTAAAAACTTACATTTAGAAAATAAAACACACTATTTGAATTATGTGTCCAGAATATTTATAGTATGCCCTTTCAATACATATCCTTACACCTGAGTTCTAATGTTGTAAAGTCATAGCTACTGACCAATGCAACGTGGCAATGACTGCCACCTTCCATCTTTGCACACCATTTCTTCTGGGTCCTGCACTAGGTAATTGTCTTGGCAAACAACAGATACTTTATCTCCATCCAAGTATTTCACTGTGGTTACAATCTCTTGGGCATTTGGAATCTGTGGTGGAGGAGGGCAGGATGTTCTCTCTTTTCCTAGAAAACATCAAAAATTATAGTTCTTTACTAAAGACAGTATCTTAAATTATTGAAGTAATAGTGTTTGTTAAGTAGTAAATTAGTAATGATAATATAAAAATTGTCCATATTTTATACATTTAACTTGTATAGATATTTAATATAGTGATTTTTGTTAATATAGTGATTCTTTGAAATTTTTTCTCATTTTTAATACAGTTTTATAATATTTTTATAAAACTTGCTTTAGTCATTTCCAGCCTTTAAAATATTTTAGCTGAATTATACACTTAAATATATCCTATTAAGATTAATCTTACATAAATATTTCTCTAGAGTTGTCTATGGATATTTATGATCTAATATGTTGGATTACATAAAAAATCCTCATGAAAAAATTTACAAATGAAAGTTGATTAGTAAAAGCTGTACTTGTATTTATTTAATACTAGTTACTTTTCTCATTGTTGTGATGAAATACCTGACAAAAGAAGCTTAGGAAGGAAGATAAAAGAAGAAGAACAAAGAAGAAAGGAAAGAAGGAAAGAAGGAAAGAAGGGAAGAAGAAGGAAGGAAATAATGAAAGGAGGAAGAAAAATGAAGGAAAGAAGAAATGAAGAAAAGAAGAAACAAAGGAAAGAAGGAAGGAAGAAAAGAAGAAAGAAGGAAGGGTTTAAGTTAGCTCATCATACAGGAAGCAATGGCAGCAGAAATGTGAAGGTGCTGCTCATATTGTATCCATAGTCAGGATGCATAGTCACCTTTCCCTTTTTATTAATCCCAGAAACCCTGCCCATAAAATGCTGCCACCTACATGTATATTGGATCGTTTCCCCTCAGTTAATCTAAACTAGAAATGTCCTTACAGACATGCTCAGAGTGTTTTTCCTAGGAAATTGTGTATTCTGTCAGGTAGAAAATAAGTTGAGACATCACAACTGATAATCAATTTAATATCAACTCTTGGTTAATAAAAATATTGAGTATGATAACAAGTGGTGTGTATTATGTAATTCAAGATGTCAACTACCCTGTACACTCCATTGAACCTGAACTGGATAGAGATGTGAAAACTGATGGTTCACAGTCCGGATAATACAGTGCTGGTATTAATGCTATTCTGACAAGTTTTCCACTAAATCACTACAAACTCATCTCTCATATTCAAAACATGAACAGGTACTTACTTAATGGTTAGCAATAATTTCATTTTTTTATATATTTCTGCTTAAGTAAAGTGGAATTGCTAGAAATAAATCAACACTATGTAGCAAATACATTTCACTACATTCTTTGAACAACTATCTAGTCATGCATAAAAGAAAACAATTACTATCTTAATACTATAACCAAAATGAAAACAGAAATAATAGAATAACAGAGGGAACAAAAGAACATCATGTGAACTTCATTAAAATGCACATAATAGGTTTAATTTTGGAATGGCATGGAAATACTTTCTGTGAACTTTAGTTAACACATCAAATGAGGCAGTACCTCCAAAACAACAGTGATAAATACAAAGAGGGAAGCAGAAATAATAGTAGAATGACTCTGTTGCCAACTGACATGCAATTGAAGGTGTCAAATAAGGCAGAATTTTGCAGGTAAGCTGATTGTTAGAAGACTTAAATAAATTGCTATATTGACAGATCACAGATCACACAATCATACTGAAAGACATGATGATTAATCATAGGCACAGAAATAACATAACACATTTGTTGTGATAAAATAATTATATGTAGTAGAACTCTAAAAATAAGGGACCATTATGACTCATAAGTAAATCCATATTGATCAAGTTTGAAATAATTGATGTATCTTATCAGATCACCACTGGTTAAGGCTGGTCTTCAATAAATCAATGAAAATCATTGATAAAATCAATGGAAATCCCACATATACATGGAAACTGAACAATGCTCTACTCAATGATAACTTGGTCAGAAAAGAAATAAAGAAATAAATTAAATACATTTAGACATTTTAGAATTTGAAAAAAATGAGGACACACCATATTAAGACATGTGGCACACAATGAAAGCAGTGCTAAGAGGAATACTCATAGCTCTACGTGCCTACAAAAAAACCTGAAGACAGCATACCCTAGCAGCTTGACAGCACGCCTCAAAGCTCTAGAACAAAAAGAAGCAAATGTACCAAAGAGGAGTAGACAGCAGAAAATAATCAAACTCAGGGCTGAAATCAACCAAGTAAAAACAAAAATAAATACACAAAGAATCAATAAAACCAGGAGCTGGTTCTTTGAGAAAATCAAAAATGCAGATATACCTTTAACCCAACTAACCACAGGGTATAGAGACAGTATCCAAATTAATAAAAATAAGAAGTGAAAAGGGTAACATAACAACAGAAACTGAGGAAATTCAAAAATATCACCAGATCCTACTATAAAAGCTTATACTCAAAAATCTGGAAAATCTGGATGAAATGGACAATTTGCTAGTCATATACCTGATACCTCCAAACTTAAATCAGGATCAAAAACCATCTAAATAGTCCTATAACCACTAAAGAAATAGCAGCAGTCATTAATAGTCTCCCCCCCAAAAAAAAACCCAGAACAAGATTGCTTTAGTGCAGAATTATGTCAGACTTTCCAAGAAGATGTAATACCAATTCTCAATAAACTATTCCACAAAATAGAAACAGAAAAAACATGACCCAATTCGTTTTATGAAGCCAAAAGGATGCTCATACATAAACCAGCCAAAGACCCAACAATGAGAGAGAATTCAGATCAATCTCCCTAATGAATATTGATGCAAAATACTGAATAAAATTCTCTTAAAATGAAACAAGGAAAACATCAAAACGACCATCCACCATCATTAAGTAGGCTTTATCCCAGGAATGCAAAGATGGTTCAATATAAAGAAATACATCAATATAATCCACTATATAAACAATCTCAAAGAAAAGAACCACATGAACATCTCACTAGATGCTGAGAATGCATTTGACAAAATTCAACACCCCTTCATGGTAAAAGTCTTGGAAAGAACAGGAATCCAAGGCCCATAATTAAACATAGTAAAAACAATATACAGCAAAGCAATAGCCAACATCAAACTAAATGGAGAGAAAGTTAAAGCTACCCACTAAAATCAGGGACTAGACAAGGCTGCCCAATCTCTCCTTATCTATTCAATATAGTACTCGAAGTCCCAGGGAGAGCAATTAGACAACAAAAGGAGATTAGAGAAATTAAAATTGGAAAGGAAAAGTAAAGATATTACTATTTGCAGATGATATGATAGTATACTTAAGTAACCCGAAAACTTCCACCAAAGAACTCCTAACCTTGATAAACAACTCCAGCAAAGTGGCTCGATAGAAAATTAACACAAACAAATCAGTAGCATTCCTATACTTAAAGGATAAGCAGGCTGAGAAAGAAATTAGAGAAACAAACCCCTTCAAAATAGTCACAAATAATATAAAATACTTCATGTGAATATAACCAAGCAAGTGACACATCTGATTAGACAAGAACTTCAAATCCCTCAAGAAAGAAATCAAAGATCTTAGAAGATGGAAAGATCTCCCATGCTCAAGGATTGGCAGGATTACTATAGTAAATGCAATCCCTGTCAAAATTCCAACTCAATTCTTCATATTGATAGAACGAGCAATTCTCAAATTCATTTGGAATAACAAAAAAATCCAGGATAGAGAAAACTATTCTCAACAATAAAAGAACATCTGGGTGAATCACCATCACTGAACTCAAGCTGTACTTTAGAGCAATAGTGATAAAAACTGCATCATATTGGTACAGAACTAGGCAAGGAGATCAACGGAATAGAATAATAGACCCAGAAATGAACCCCCATACCTATGGTCACTTGATCTTTGACAAAGGAACTAAAACCATTCAGTGGAAAAACACAACATTTTCAACAGGTGGTGCTGGTTGAACTGGAGGTCAGCATGTAGGAAAATGCAAATCAATCTATTAATATTTCCTTGTACAAAACTCAAGTCCAAGTGGATCAAGGAACTCCGTATAAAACCTGACACAGTGAAACTAATAGAAGAGAAAGTGGGGAAGAGCCTCAAATACATGGGCACAAAGGAAAAGTTCCTAAACAGGACACCAATGGCATATGTTCTAAGATCAAGAATTGACACATGGACTTTATAAAATTACAAAGCTTCTGTAAAGCAAGGGACACTGTCAATAGGAAAAAATGGCCACTCTAAAATTGGGAAAAGATCTTTTACCAATGCAATATCTGATATAGGACTAATATGCAAAATTTACAGAGAACTCGAGAAATTAGATTCCAGTCAGCAAAATAACCCTATTAAAAGTGAAGTACAGAGCTCAACAAAGAATTTTCAACTGAAGAATATAAATGACCATGAAGCACCTAAAGAAATGTTCAACATCTTTAGTCATCAGGGAAATGCAAATCAAAACAACCTTGAGATTCCACCTCACACCAGTCAGAATGGCTAAGATTAAAAGCACAGATGACTACAGATGCTGGCAAGGATGTGGTGGGATTGTAAGCTTGTCCAACCACTTAGAAATCAGTCTGGCAGTTTTTCAGAAAATGTGGATCCAGTGGTACCACTCCCTGGCATATACCCAAAATATGCTCCAAGATATAACAAGGACACATCTCCACTACATTCACAGTAGCCTAATTTATAGTAGACAGAAACTGAAAAGAACCCAGATGTCCTTCAACAGAGGAATGGATACTGAAAATTTTGTACATTTACACAATGGAGTATTACTCAGCTATTAAAAACAATGAATTTGAGAAATTCTTAGGCAAATGGATGGAACTAGAAAATAATCATCTTCAGTAAAGTAACCCAATCAAAAAAAGAAAAAAAACACACATGATATGTACTCATTGATAAGTGGATATTAGCCAAAAATCTCACAATACCCAAGATGTAACTCACAGACCACATGAAGTCCAAGAAAAAGAAAGACCAAAGTTTGGGTGCTTCGGTCCTTCTTAAAAGGAGTAAGAAAATACTCAGGGGGGCAAATATGAGACAATTTGTGGTACAGAAATTAGAAGAGAGACCATGCAGAGACTGCCCCACCTGGAAATCCCTCTCAAATGCAAAATGTGTTACACTGTTGTGAATGTCAGGAAGTGCATGCTGACACAGCCTGATATACCTGTCTCCTGAGAGGCACTGCCAGAGCTGACATATACAGAGGCAGATGTTGACAGCTAATCATGAAACTGACCACAAGTTTCCTAGTGGAGGAGTTAGAGAGTAGAATGAAGGAGTTGAAGGGGCTTTTGTCTCCATGGGAAGAGTGACAATGCCAACAAACCAGAGCTCCCTGGGTCTTAATAGCTAGCCTGGGAACACACATGGAGGGAATCATGTCTCTAGCTGTATTTGAAGAGGAAGATGGACTTATAGGGCATCAATGGGAGAGGAGAGCCTTGGTCCCTTTAAAGCTGGATTCCCCAGTGAGGTGAAATTTGAGAGAAGGCAGTTGGGAGTAGGAGGGTGGGTGGGGCACACCCTCATAGAAATGGGAGGAAAGAGGATGGATTAAGGTGTTTGGTGGGTTGGGAATTGGGAAAGGGGATAACATTTGAAATGTAGATAAATAAAGTACCCAATTATAAAATAAGAAAAACGAACAAACAAACAAACAAACAAACAAGAAAATAATAGAACTTGCTATAGCAGTCGAACATTTGAGAAATTTTAACAGAAATTTAACATTACCAATAATATGGGATTCCTTATAATTTTCAAGGACAAGAGAATTGAAATGGGCTCATGGAACTTTAAAACAATATTTTTATCAATTAAAAAGGGGGAGATACACCCGTGTACACCATAAATTTATTTAAATTATATTCTTTTATTTTTCAGTTTAAAGTATTTTTCTAAAAATATTTGAATGCCAAGGGATTTTTTGCTGAGTGTCTATGGCACTCTACAGCTAGACATACATATGCATAGGTGAAAGAGAAGGTTCCAATTACTAGCATAAGGTATGATCCATATCAAGTATTAAAGATGGGGAAAAGGGCATGTTTGTGTTTTTTCTGGAAGATGCTGACGGAGCATGGTGGCTACCAGAGCGATGGGTGAGACATGCTTATGCCAGGACAAACAATGATGCTAAGCATGAGCTTGCTGAGTGCCCTGATAATGATGACTGGGAAGCTGTATTGGACATAGGTTTCTTATCCACCATTGCTTACCTATACCCTTGATGGGACAAGCTGTCTTATCTCAAGATTTTAGACCTTGTGGAAGAGAAAGTCAGAAATAGAAGTTATAATGCCTCTTCTATTGTTCTTAACTGTCACCAATTATTCAGACTGGCATAGAAATCAATCCAATATTGGAAATAACAGTCTCCAATTGGAAGTCTGGTTCTGGACACTTTCAGAGACATATATGGAAATTAGCTGCAGTTCATTATGATGTCATGTTAGCAAGAGATAAAGTTGGGGTAGCATCTAGATTTCCGACAGGGGTTAGCACATGACTTAAGGTTCTTTAAATTGTCAAGTTAATACTTTTGTTTCTTCTACAGTATTAAATGTAATTTGCATTGCTTGTACACCTTCTTATTGTGTTTGTGTTTTGAAATCAGGCATGTCAGTTATAGAGGTCTCTCAACCAGCTTTTGTTTTATTGCCCTGAGTATCACAGATCTTTGGTATTATAAAAATAGCCTCCCAGTACTGGAAGAAATGAGTCAGGCATTAAGTAGAAGAAAGAAGATACTGGGCTTGATTATTGCTGGCATAACAGCTTTAATTACATTATTTGGTAGCACCACTGCTTCTGCAATTGCTGTGACACAAGAAGTTAAGACAGCTACTTTTGTTAATCATTTAACAAAATATGCTACTAAAGTATTGAATATATCAGAGGACTCAGATAGGCATTTGGAAGACCAGATTGATGTTCTTTATCCTATTCAAATTAGTGAAAGGAGCTTCAGAATTTATGGGTAAGTATCCATCTTGAATGTTGGCAAATACTATTGGATTCATGTTAGTTCTACAATTTGCAGTGGTAGTCATTATAATTAGGAAGAAGTTTAATGACACGTGCAGTGTATTTGTGCATTTGGCATAATTCTAGAAAGTCTTCGGATGTTTTAATGATACATAGAGAAGTAATGAATTTCATGAATGCTGTTCTGCTGAATGTTGATGAGGTAGATACTGCAGATAAAATTACTCATGGCCTGAGGTCAGTATTTCTATTTTGTTCCAGCTTCAAAATAGTCATATATAGGCTGATCACGCTAGCCCTTTTTGTCCTGGGAATACGTTTATTCCTGCCCATAATGTTAAAGCTTTTCTTCAACAACATCAACATGTTGGCAGCCAAGTACATCACTTGAACCTTAAAATGGACTCCCAGACAGAGTTATTAAATTAACAGGCTGACAAGACAAGGATAGTTAAAATTCTGCACAGAGGCTTATCAACCTCAGACATAAGTGCCTTCTATAATGTATATTCCATGACAAGTAAGGAACCCTTTCTTTTCAGAATGACCTAAGACAGGCTCAGTCTTGTTAATGAAATAAGAAAGGCAGAGAGGCAGAGAGCCTTTGGAGGTTGCTTGGCAAGAATCTCAAATGAGCCAAGGACAAGGAAATGGGCACTTGTCAGGAGTATGACATTGGCCAAGGACCGGAAATAGGTTTCAGGCAGGAATCTGACATTAGGGTAGAACAAAGAAGTTATTTCAGGCAGGAATCTAAATCTTAGGCTAGAACAAGGAAGTAGGCTTCAGACACAAAAATGACTTTGGGCTAGGACAAGGAAGTAGGCTCAGATACTTTGGTCATGCTGATAAGCCCTTAGAGACAGTGATCACGGGAGTGTTCAGGTAATTGGGTTTAATGCCTTGCTTTTACTTTGATTACTTGAGTTTATTGTTTAGCTTGTTCCTTGATAATTTGCATCTGTTGTGGTGCTAGACCCTCAACCAAGAACTGAACTTAATACATATATTTAATCAAGATGGTATAAAAGCATAAAGGAGTAGGGCAGGATTGGATAGGGGGTTCTAGGGAGGGGAAATGAGGAAAGGGGATGGCATTTATATTGTAAAGAAATAAAATGTCCAATAAAAACATTTTAAATAAATGAAGATAAAAATTCTTGGAGATTAAAGAAAGGACAAGTGTCTAAAAAATACTGAAGGTAAGAAAAATTTCTCATCAGCAAAATGGTATAATAAAAGACAATTGATGAACATTCAAAAACAGATTAGACTTTTAAATATGTTTCACAGTCATAAAAATACTCATTATTATATAATAATTGAAAATCATTCTGAAAATGCAAGATAATGGCAATCAAGTCTATGTAAAGAAAGATGTACATATGAAGTAAAAAAAGAAAAACAAAAAAGGACACATCTGGGACATGTATAACTAAAGGATTATTCTTTTAGAAATCTTCACTTTCCAGCAAAATAATTGCTAAAGTATAAGTTAGAAAAAAAACCCTGCATTTGAAAAATAGTAAACTACAAATTGAACTAGGATTATATTTAAAATATCCAAATGGTATTAAAAGGAATATATATCAACACTATGATGTTGTAACCTCTTATAGATATATTTTTTTAAAATACTAAAATGGACAAAACTGAGACATTTACAACAATACCCAACAAGAAGAAATTGATACAGCATAAATATATATTGACACAAATATTGGAAAAGAACATCAAACCTGGGCCAAGAACACTATTCAAGAGTCATCTTCCCTGTAGCACATCATAGAGAATTCAATGTCAATTAGCCATTTTGTAAAGTGTTATTTCTTGAATATATGACTGATGTGTATAGCTATTTTGTTTAATTTTAAACTATAATTTTAAAATAGTTTTGAATAAAATGGCAAAGTAATTTCAAAGTGCATGCTACTATAAAATAAAATTTGCTAAATTTTTTGAATTATAGCTTAATGATTACTAGGAGTGTTTGCTATATAGTTGTCAAGAATCTACAGTATTCACTTATACACACTGGAAACCATGAGACAATTCGCCACAGTTAATACAAATGGTAAGGAAAATCATGAGCATCTTGTGATTTCAGTGCTGGTTACTTACTAATAGGAATGCATTTGGGAGGAGGGGACCAGCCAGACTCTGTACATGTCATTATGTCTTGACCATTTGGAAGATGATAGCCATTGTAACACAGGACTTTTACAGATTGACCCTGTAAATATTTTCTTTCCCAATAAGAAGATTCTCCATTCTCCACATAATGGAAAACACATTGCTCTAAGAAACATAAAAATTATAAATGAAAAACAGTACAAAAGCTTTCATTAGTTTAAAAGTAAACTAAGGTAAATGTTATCTTTACAACTGTTTAATATCATGTGTATGGTGCAAAAATAAAATTAATAACAAATGTTTAAGAGACTAGCATTTGTCTTTAGTTCTTATAAATAAAATATGCAAGTGATAAAGGTATTTCCATAGCCCCTACTGTGTGTGTACATTTCATGAAGGGCTGCTCACAAAGGACAGAAACTAGCTGCTTTTGGCTCACAAATGCTTTTGTTGGTCACATTTTGTCATGAGAAATTTAACTGTACGTATGTATGTGCTTCCTCTTTTAAAGAATTAAACATCGTTAAATATAAAGACATTGACTTACTGAGGCATGGGACTTCAGGCTCCCACCCTTGTGCTGTGCAACGAAGGTAGTCCCAGTATGACCCTGAAGGTGTTGAAAACCCATTGTCACAGTAATAGCTGTAATTATGTCCTATAGGTACTGGGAAGTAGGGTCTCCGTAGTTCTTCATAATATAGACGTCCATGTTTGAATTGTGGAAAATCACAAGGTTTTACTTGAAATAAAATACATACATACATATATATATATATATATATATATATATATATATATAAAACAAACAGAAAACCACTCATATCAGAGATAGAATTCTTGATCAGTAAATTACTTTCAATTGATTAATATAACTACATGATAGAACAGTGAGTATGTGGGACAAAAAAATAAAACAAAAGACAACTTTAGTTTGTGACAATGCCTTTCAACATGAAATCAAGTTATACTGATACCCAACCAGAGATGTGGGTTAGAGATATTTATCAATATCCAATAAAACTGCTTGTTTATAATTTACACTGAAACTAAAATACAGTATGAATATGGAACATATGGAGCTCTTTTTGTATCTTTGTATTAAAATGCTGCATTATTCATTACATTAAGTATATAAGTAATATATTATGTATAATTATTTTTTATTATTACTTATAATTTGTACTTTAGTATGACAATATCTTTTTTTCATGAAGTGTGATTCTGCTTCAAGAAACCTCATGCAATGTATTAAAAATTATTTCAACAAATATTTATAAAAACAAACAATTCTCCTTAAGTTTCCTCATTCATTTTAGACTTTATTTTATTAGAGAAATTTTTCAAGAATTTTTTACACATTTTTTACATGGTTCAAAAATTATAATTCTTTTTATCCTAAATGTTCTTCTTTAACAATTTTGAGAATTATACTTTTCATAGGACATCAATAAGTTAAATTAGTGCACTGAGATTTTGTTCTAAAAAGTAACAAAAGGAGGTTTGTTTTACAGTACGAATATCATTAATACCACAGTCCTCAGACTTTTACCTAATCTTCACTCTCCAGTGGGCACAGGTAAATCTTTTTCTCCCCCTTTAGACACAATTCTTGAAACAAAAATAATATTTGATAATCTACATGGTCATCTGAGTTGGTCAGTACCTAAATGATCCTTGTTTGACATCTTACAATTTTCAGATGCAGGTTGTAGCTGCATCAAAAATGATTGTTGTACTATGTATCACACTGTTAGTGCAGTCTACTCAGACAGCTGACCAATATATTTACCAATTTTACAACTTTTATCAATATTATGAGCACAGTACAAGATCTTCTAGTTTTTACTGATCTTCAATCCCAAGATCTTCTTATTTTTATAGATAAATCTCATCCTACTACATATTCAACATGACACAAAACATTAATTTCTAGAGTAATTTCTAGCACAGACTCAGAATCATCATCTCCTTTATTGTTCCAGTTGTACATTTTATAATGTATTTCTCCCAAATAATAAAAGAATTAATGAAAGTAATGAGAAATTAAACATCACTGAGGAGCGAGCACTACACATTTTAATTAGAAAAAGTTATTTAATGACACTACAGATAGATTAATCATCTTTATCTTATCCAGGAAATATCAGAAAGTTCATTGTAAAATAAATTAAATTCAGATATATTCAAGCAACAGACAATTCAGACATATTTGGGCAGATCTGCATTGTGGAAACTCAAGCATAGTTGGGTTTGTGTCTCACTGCACTACACAGATTCTACACTTGTAATTGTAAAGCTACTCAAAAGTCCATGGCAAAGATGTCATAAGATCTGCATGCAGAGACACACATTAATTCTGGTATTAAAATAAATTGACTTAACACTGAACAATCTTCTAAGTCAATATGTTTATATTCATAGCTAATCACACTGTTAACATCAGAGAATATACTTTTTTCTAGTAAATTATAATAAAAGTAAAGATTTATTAATACAAAATGCACTAGCAATCGCAACAATGTGTGGAAGTATTAAACAAGACACATGCACCATCCCCTCCAAGCACCCTGTGAAGGAAGGAGCATAAAGATTCTAAGAACTAGAATGGTCAAGGCTGCTATATCTTCTGAAGAAAACATTGCCATTATAATCACAAACTCTCAAAAATTACAGACCCCTCACAGGAATGGGCCATCAATATCCAGACACGACTGTAGTAAGGTCTCAGGTAATGACGGCCCTCACTTTTGGAACTATTTTATGCTGATAGATTTAGAATTGTAGGGAATCATTGCTTTCAAGCTTATACCCACTAATGAATAAACCAGGTTTGAAAATACAAGTCCAATTCAAATGTTATACATATTTCCTGAGTTGAGCTAAATGTATCATACGTCAACACTCAAAATTACAATTCTTGGAAAAGGACAGGAACGGATGATATGTTGTTTATAGAGATGAGACAGTGTAAAAGAAAATAGGATCATATAATATCCAGAATATATTATGGTATACCATAAGCCAGAAGCCTCAACCCAGACCAATGATTGAATGGAATGGACATCTGCAAGTAAAGCTGTTTGGACAAAAGGATATACTGTATGGCACACTGCAATGCCTGCGGCTTCCTTGATAAGATATTTATTTGTTAGATTTTTTTAAAAATTTGTTTTGTTTTGAGGAAAATCTTGCAAGAGCACGAATTAGATATGGAAGAATGGAAACATGAGTGGGATTTAATACTTGTGAAACTTACCAGGAATTAATTTTAAAAAGGCCAAAAATATTTTCAACAAAATAGTAAAAGAAAAACTTACTAATCTAAAGAAGGAGATGTCTATAAAAGTAGAAGAAGCTTGCAGCACAATACATAGATGGGAAAAGAAAGTGAAGTTCTGTTAAAACAGTAATCAAAGCACAAAATATTCAAAACAAAGAATAAATACTAAAAGATGTGAGAGGAAAAATATGAAGGCAGACCTATCATAATATACCTAATTTTAATGGAAACTCAAACAAGAAGGTCCTGGACATACTAAGAGACCACAGTTGCAGCCTAGACTACTGTAGTCAGAAAAACACTCAATAAACATAAAAAAAGAAAACAAGCTATACCATGAGAAAATCAAACTTAAACAATATATATTAACTCCCTAGCACTATAAAAAGTACTAGAAAGAAAACTCCAACCCGAGCAGATTATGCCTAAGAAATAAATAATCTTTTTTTATAAACATTTGGAATTTTATTTTTAAAAAAATCACAACCATGAACATTGTTACAATTAGATGCCCTCTTGGTTCTCCACAATGATACTGAGCATGCTCACAAGTGGTTCCCATTGTTAAGTCTTAAAACAACCATCTTAGAAAGAAAAAACAAAAAAAACAAAAAACAAAAAAACAAAGAAAACAAAATCAACAAAACAAAAACTCAGCACACTACTATTTAACTTGTTTTAATGTTTCTTCACAAATGGTGAAAATACTAAAATACAGACAAGGAATAATCATAATGTTGTCACCAACATTATAAATATGGAATTATAAATTTAAAACATTTTCTGGTTTAAAAAATAAATCTGGTCATCAATGCAGCTCTTCAGGTCTCTAGTAGGGCCGGTCTCTAAATTCCTGACAGTGCTCGCCTTTATCCATTTTCCCAGGTCCTCCATGTCCGCCTTTTCTTCCTCCCATCTGTTCCATTAAAGGTCCAGGAGGCCCCCCAGGACCACCCTCGTCTTCCTCCACCAAAGCCACCTCTGTCCACGTCACGGCCACCTCAGAAGCCTCCTCTGTCTCCACCTCTGCCACCTCTGAACATTCCTCCAGGACCACCTCTTCCTCCTCGCATGCCACCAGGGCCACCTCGGCCACGATCACCACCGGAGGTGGAAAGGGTGGCTGGAGGAAGCCCTCGGGCTTAGGGGCCTTACATTGGTTGCATTCTGTTCTCCAAGTGAAGTTCTGGTTTCCACAGCCCAGACTGGGACACCGCCAGTCTCCAGCTCGGTGCTGGACATTTCCTCTTTCAGAGGGGTTCCCTCTGGAGCCTCGGAGCCCTCTTGGAGGGAAGCCTCCTCTGTCTCCTCCACAGCCTCCCATGCAACCCATGGGTCCTCCGGGACCTCCCAGGCCACCAGGACCTCCACCGAAGTGGTGGTGGCATCCCTCTGCCCTCACGAGGTGGCATGCCACCTCGCATGCTGTTTATTGGGAGCTTCTTTCTGGCAAGAGAAATTTTAAGTTTGCTTCCTTGAAAATCTTTCCCATCAACCCATTCCACGGCAGCCTTGGCAGTTGGTGGATCTTCATAGGACACTGTGGCATCACCTTTAGGTTTTCCTGTCTCCTTATCTAGGTAGATATGGATCATGGGCTGTCCAGTTCTCTTGTTCATCTTGACAACCCCGCACTGCTTAAAGAAGTCTGCCAGATCATCCAGGGTCACATTGTCATTTAATCCTTGCACATAAATTGCACTGTTGTCAGAGTCTTCATCAGGATCTACAGGAAGGCCTAGATCGAGATCTGGTCTTTCATCCATGGGTCCACCAGGCTTATTGAAGCCACCTCGCTCTCCAGTGCTGCCCATTCCACCGCGTCCTCCTCCCCGCCCACCTCTCCTCATGCCTCCACCTTCAAATACCCCTCTTCCCCTGCCCAGGTTATCAGGGCCACTCAAGCTCCGGTTCTCTCCTGGTCCAGAAAATCCTCCAGACTCCTGCCCATAAACACCCATGCTACTGGGGTGGTCCTGTCGGAATGAACTCTGCTGCCCGTAGCTGCTGCTCTGTTGGCTATATTGACTTGGAGCCTGGATGTAGGATCCAGTCTGAGGGGGGTAACTAGTGGGAGGCTGCTGCCCATAGCTGCTTTGTTGACCATAGCTACTCTGCTGTCCATAGCTGCTCGGCTGCCCATAGGTGTTCTGCTGAGAGTAACTGCTCTGATCGTAACTAGTCGGCTGTGAAGAGGAGTAGCTGGTAGGAGGGTAAGATGGAGGTGCGGTGACTGGCTGCATTGGGTAGCTCTCAAGTACCTGGGGATAACTGTAGTTACTCTGTCCATATCCTAGGCTGGGTTGGTTATAACCCCCTGTGCTAGATTGAGGTTGACTAGTCTCAGCAGGCTTGTTACCATCCTGTGGTCTTGTAGGTGTAGTGGCTGCTGGCTGCTGGCCATAGGCTGGGTAGGCAGGCTGGGTGCCATATGCAGACTGAGCTGCATATGAGGCCTGCGTTGTCGTGACTGTAGCAGTGGTG